AATATTTAGTTGACTACTGAAATCTACCAGGGTTATTTTTTCAATAGGGAAGTCTTACACTTTTAAAGCTAGAGCTAAAGAAAGATCTTTTGAATGTCCATACTGTATATGCACAATGAACTAATAATTGTATTAGCTGGACCATGTAAGAGTAGAATAGTGAAGCTAGTAGCATATGGAAAGTAGTGCACAGTAATATAATTTATTACAGCACGCATTTCATGTCTGATTGTTTGTAGATTGTTAGTTTGTAAATGTCCATAACTTTTGACTGAATTATTTTGAGTTTTTTATCATTTAGACATTTTTGAAGTTTGATACAATGAATGTAATCAAATCAGCCTTTATTCCAGCATGAAAGGTAGATAGATGGTGCATCATATGAAAGTGTCTGTGAATTTGACATCTTTCGATTGGAAGTTGCAAATATATCCATGGAAATTGAGCTTTTATCAGTTTCCTTTTCATCATTATGAAATTATGAATTATTAGCCCAGAATCCCCCATTAGGGGGAGATGGGCGGAGATAAATCTAATTAGAAATAAATAATCAAAAAAATATAATCCTATTTTGATAGCAGGACAACACATAAAATATTAGTCATTACAGAATAATTATGTTAAGACATGGAATGAAATTAAGAAGGACATATTAAGATGGGAGAAATTACAATTCTAATTGTTGGGAAGAATTTCTGCGATAAAAAGGAATGTTTTGCCAAGGATGATGTTTTTGTATTAAATAATACCTATTCAGACAACTAATGTACCATTTAAATATATAATGCAGAAATATATATCATGTTTTATGGCAAGGGAAAAAAACCAAGAGTTAAATATAAAATACTTCAGGATGCAAAGGAATGAGGAGAATTGGGACTGCCTGATTTGAAATTGTATTTTGCAGCCTGCTGAGTAGTTTGGATGAAAGAGTGGGTTTTGCTGATCAATAAAATAATTTTAGAATTAGAAGGGCAAGATATGAGGTTCAGATGGTGTGGTTTTCTGTGCTATGATAAAGTTAAGGTTACTATAGATTTTAAGAATCTTTATATTAGAAGTGCTGTATTGAGAATATGGAACAGATATAAACCTAGAATGTGCCCGAAAATGCCTTTATGGGTCTCGGCACAAGAAGCATTTTACAAGAAAGAAACAGTGAGTAAAGAAAAATCGTTAACTTATTGAGATTTGTTAGAACAGGAACATGGAGAATATCAGATGAAATCAAAAGAGTAATTGGCTGTAGAGGGATTTAGTTTTCAATGGTTTCCGTATGCACAGTTAAGAGAAAGATTTAAGGGAGGACTTCAGGGGAAGAAATGGCGAACTGAAGACGGCTCTACTGAAAGTGGAACCGACAGCCGTGGTGGAATGAAAAGCCGGCAACTAGACCAGCTCTTCATAATTCCTCTCCAGAGAAAGAGAGGACTTGAGATTGCCCACACGTGCTCCATACATTTGCTTCTCATGAAGAGACCACAAGATACCGGTCTCTGGTGGGCTTAGAGCTCTGGGAGATGAGGGGATAGCTATCTTTTTGCTCAAACCGCAGTCGGCACCTTCAAAAGGACATTGGGTTCACATGCTTCCTTTTCTAATCACTTTTGGAAATTGCTTGTTAATAGTTTTCAGCTATTAGGAACCTTTAGATCAACATGTTTTACAGCACTGGGTGAGTTTCCTTCAATCCTTAGAGAAAGAAGTTTTAAATACAATTTTAAGGACTTTAAAAAATATTATTTTGGAATAAACAGCAACAGGGAGATTAGAACTTTCATTTTGGAAAGTTACAAACTGACTAAGGGTCCAGATGGATTTGAAATAAGATTTTGGAATTAATTATAAGAATCTCTTCTGTGGGAAAATGCTTTTGTTTTGAATTCTTTAAAAAAAAATGATAGGATGAGACTTTGAAGGGAGGGGCACTAGAGGGAACTAGAAGGAACTAAAGATTACAATTAAAGGAGAACAGTTAAATTTTACTTACTAATACAGAATGGAGCAAAATATTTTAACATTGCACATATTGAAGGATATTTTTGAACAATGGACCCAGAAGTTAATTTTAAGAGTCTCTGCCTCTATAGATAGACTGTGCTTAAATGATGCTACGGAAGAGGAACAAGTATTACCTGACGTGATTGAGACTGATCTGAAAGTAGATTTAAAAATGACAGGCTACAAGAATGATATGGAAAAAGATGCTACACTGGACATACAAATGAAACCGGCTGACATCTTAATAATTAAAAGAGATATACAAATAACAAACCAAAAAAGTGACCTGAATAATTTTTCTATATTGGATTTACAAAAGCTTGTAAAAGCTTTGAAGAATTTTGTGAGAAGAGACAAAGAAAAATGTTGATTTATTTGATCAAGGTTAAAATAGATACATTGTTATCTCTGGTAACCCTTACTGGACTTTTGCTGATCAGGGCTAAAATGACGAGGCTTTAAGGATTTGTTTATAGATAAAAGATC